GATTAAATATCTCTTCAAGGTAGTGTCTGATCACCAAAGGGACTGGGACAGCTATTTGACTTTATTTTTAATGGCATACCGTTCATCTGTCCACGAAACGATTGGCCAAACACCTGCCAGTGTCCTTTTTGGAAGGGAGTTACGACTACCTTGTGACCTCAAATTCGGCTGTAAACCAGGAGATGACTTGACTGGAGAAGATTATGTTACCAACCTTCGAAGAAAGCTTGATATCCACGAGTCGGTTCGTCAGCATACGCAGATTGCTAGTGACAGGATTAAAGAAAACTACGATATCAAGGCTACAGCAGGTGGTTACCAAACTGGAGATCTTGTTTGGTTGTATAANAGTGTTTTGGTCGTGGTCGAGGTGGGACGGGAAGAAGTGGAGAGCTCGATGGCTTTGGTAATCTCGTTTGACAAGAGACTTACCGCGTCTTCGAGTTCCGCTATTGTGCGAATTGGAGTGCACTTAGAAGTAGAAGTTTCAAGAATGTAGCGGAGATGTAGCCAGTCTAGCGAAGTTATTGGTTTTGGTGGATTAAGAATTGGGCGGCCGACTTCTATTAAGACCGGGAGGTGGTCGGAATCTAATGCGTCTAGCGCGATCGGTTCGGCGGAAAGGTTGACATTTTTCGTGACGAAGATGTCCAAAATGTCAGGTTGCTGCCTAGCAGGGGCGGGAATGAATGTGGGAGAATTGGGAGCTTCAATTGTTAGATTGAAGTCCAAACTTTTGGCAAGAAGTGATATGCCTTTAATATTGTTTTGTCGGCATCCCCAGGACAGGTGTTTGGCATTGAAGTCGCCTCCGACGATGGTCGGGATGTTTTGGTGGAAAAGAAGCGGTAGTTCTGTGAGATTACGCTCTGAAGGGGATGAGTATAGGGAAAATACCTTGAGAGGGCCGGATGTTAGAGATACTTCAATGCCGACGATTTCTAGAGAGTTTGTAGCCGAAGGGATAGGCTTGTGTTTAACAGAGTTCCTAACGAGAATGGCTACACCGCCGCCTCTGGAATTTTCACGGTCCCTTCTGTATGCCGTGAAATTTGGGACGAAAGTTTGTGGTTGTGAGCAAGGTGAGTTTCGGTGATGCAAGCAACACCGATTGACCGATCATCGAGGAAGTCGTCGAGTTCGATCAATTTGTTTTTAATGTCACGGGCATTCCATGTGACAGTACAAAGGTGGTTTGGGAGGGCTGTGTTGCTCATTAGTGATTCTGTAAGGCGGCGACTAAGCTGACTACCATCGTGTTATTTATTTTATAATATAAATTGGTAAAAAGTGTGAGTACAACTGACTTGTTTATAATTTACTAACCGACTAACTTGTTTATAACAATATTCAACTGTTTATCAATACATAATATACGATTACTATGGAGCTCAAATAAAAATTAGCAATTCTCAAAACAACAACATTATGGACTATAAACAGAACAAATAATTGATTAATCCTAAAACACAAACATAGGCGACGAAAGAGCGCTTAGTAAACATGAAATCTCAACACTCCCATTCGCTCTTTCGAATAATAAAAATACATTGTTACACTTAATCTAAATTTAACATTTTACAATTTTTATCAAACTTAAGCAATTTAAGTGACAAACTTTTTGTTAATAAATCCGCAAGTTGACAATAAGTAGGAACCCGAATCACTTGAATATCACCAATTTTAACACACTCGCGAATATAATGAAATTTTATGTCTATATGTTTTGAACAATCATGGTACACGGGGCTTTTTAGTTAACTGTTCAGCTGCTTCATTGTCGATATACAACTTGGTTGATGAGCTTTGAAGGAATCCTAGTTCACACATCAGAAGACGTAACCGTTGGGTGTTTTTGACAGCAGCATGAGCAGCTACATACTCTGCATAGATGGTGGAATCCGTAATAATATTTTTCCTTTGACTTTTCCAAATAACAGGGCCACCATTTCGAATCAAAACTACTCCACTTATTGATTTTCGGTCATGAGAGGTTGCCCAGTCTGCATCACTGTATGCGATTACTTCGTTTTTTGAAGTACAGCTTCCATTGTATGTAATACCTTTACTTAACGTTCCTTTTAAGAAACGAAGAACACGTTTCGCGGTTTTACATGTAATTTTGAATTTTTGTTTAATCAACGTTAACAATTCAATTACCAATTACCAGCCTGGCAGTATAACGATCAACTTCACCATTAGGTTTCATTTTAATGCGAAAAACCGAACAGTTTTTAATCACCTTTCGATTTTTGGGACGCTTAACCATAGACTAAGTCTTGTTTTCATTAAGTGCTGTTAATTCTTCACACATAGCTCGCTCCCACTGTTTATGGTCCGATGATTTACGCGCTTGTTTCACAGTTAAAGGTGTTTCGGATGCCATATACAAACAGCCTGTAACATAAGCAAAATTTAAACCTTCTGAGTGAGGTTTTGCTGTTCTGCTTCTAGTGCGACTCGCAATATTGAATACTATCGACTAATTTATTTTTTATAATTTAATAATGTTTAATAATAATGTTTATAGGAATAACTTCTCATTTTATTCTTTACACTTTGTCGGTAATAAACGACTTTAGGTTTCAGTTTACCCATTATTTATGACTACAAAAGACACGGAAAATTTACGGATATAGATATTTTTTTGTAACTCGATTAAGTGCCAAGTACTTAACACATACTTATTACAGCAGGTAACACGGTCAGTACCTATACATGACACAAGTATCTATACATATATATATGTATGAAATCAGTCGGCTAGATCGATAGATGGGCGGAGTTATCTTGTAGTTGCTCGTCTGGCCGCATAGACCGCTCGTGCCTAGGTTACATTTTGTTCTAATTTTTTGTAAAACATGGGTTTGTATTCTACAGATTGTGATTTAACGCTTCGAGATAAATATGTGATTTTTTGTATGGTAACAGACAAAGGTTCACACTACCTCGGTACAGACGCGGTTTTCAATAATTTGATCATTAAAAGTTGTTATAGGAGCTTAAAGTTGATGCATTTTATGGGACGTATATTTCCAATAGAAATGAAAAATTAAAAAAAAGGCCTCTGACAGGCGCTAGAACAAAGCTTTGTTTATCTCCCTACAAAATTTCAAATTTCTATTTCAAATATTAAACTCATGTTATGCAGAATAGATAAGCATGTTTTTACTCTACGGCGCGAGTACTACTGAATCCCCTTAACCTGTCCAAGGCTATTTCCGACAGCTCCGTAAACCGTCATCGGCACACGAACCGACGAGAGAACAACAACAAGCGCAGACGACAGCAACCTTTCCTGTCGTCATCCGAATCATCCTCCTCCTCTGACAACCAATCGGAGAAGTCAAAAATCTCCCCCCCCCTTCAATCGTCTTACGTCAAAAGTCCCTTTGGCCGAAAATTCTTCATGCCATTGACGTCCACGGCGCTACCACCCGTAGGTCAATAAATACCCAAGACCCAATTTGAGTCTACCCCAGCTCCATCGACAATATTCGTCGTCTATCCTCTTTCCTGGACGAATCCAAAGTCCAATTTTCAACAAACCAGCTACAACAAGACCATGACCTTCATGTCGTAATCCGTGGTGCCTGCGAAGACATTCCAACGGAGAAGATCGAGTCCGAACTAAGCCACAAAGGCTTTATTATCAAAGGCATCCATCGTATGTCTAAAGGTAACAAAATCGCATCCCTTGCCTCCGTCCGTCTTGATAAGATCGCTTCAAAGTCCAAGACAATTTTCGATCTTGTAAGCTCTGTGGTCTCAACATCAAAACTACATCAACATCAACTACAAAAGCTACAAAGGAAGTTCCTCAATGCCGCCGCTGTATGAAATTCTTCCATACAGCCAACTACTGCAGCCTGGGTCTGCGCCTTCTGCGGCCGTAACTATATAATCGCCGAGTACAAATCCAAGGACAAGAAGGATGCCACTCCCACTTGTGCCAACTGCAAAGGGAACCACCGCGCCACCTACCGCGGCTGCCCCAAAGTTCCCAAAAAGACCTTCCCTTCACCACCCAAGAAAATCGTCACTCCTGTTGTTTCCCAAGGCACAAGAACTACACCACCATCCGGCTACCACCTTGACAATGCCCCCCAAAATTCCTACGTCAAGGCAGTAACAACCGCCCCCCCTACCCCCCACAAAAAATCACACGCAAGCACTCCTCCAGCTGTAAGCTCCCAAGTTTGGAAAAAAAACTTCAAGTCATTGTCCAAACCATGGTCGCCAGCATTGTCGCCGCCTAACAAAAAACCACCAATGTCGAACACCGCCCACCTAGACAATCTCCGCATAGTTAACTGGAATGCGCAAAGCATTAAAGGTAAATTGACTGAACTTGAGCACTTCTTCGAGGATAAGTCAATCAGTGTTGCTTGCACCTCCGAAATTCACATGTCCGAAAATTAAACCTTTTGTCCCGAAATTTTCATCCTACAGAAGGGACCGTGAAAACGTCAGTGCCGGCGGTGTCGCCATTCTGGTTAGGAATTTTCTGAAGCACAGGCCTACCTCTTTGGCCACAAACTCGTTAGAGACAGTCGGCATCGAAGTTTCGCTAACTTCCGGTTCTCTTAGGATTATATCTCTCTACTCCCCCCTTCGGACAGAAAACTTTCTGAACGCTAAACACGTCTCTTGGGGCTGTCGAGAAACTAATAGTAAAGGCAACTTCCTCCTTGTCAAAATTCTGGACTTTAACCTTAGAGTTGAAGCACCCCTGGACCCCACGTTCCTCCCCGCCCCCCACAATGAATGAGCGTCTTTTTATTTTAACGTCTGAATATTTAGTTCAGTAAACTAATTCTGCTATACAACATCAGTACCTATGTCACTGTAGAATAGTTGTTGTTACAATAATGTTACATGATACTTATTTACGGGTTAAAACCATATCGCCGCTGTAGGGACGAAGTCATTGATTTCAAAGAAGGCAATCCCTTAAACATGTACACACGAGAAAGCAGAGAACGTCGGTCATGTATTGTTTACAAATTTACTTCACGCGGGACGAAATCTTAAATTTTCATATGTGATGCGAAATTTTTGGAGACTTATTTGACTTTTTTAGTAAGTTTACATACAACCACCAGCAGATCAGGTATTGCGCCTTGGTAATACCTCAACTGTGGTGTGGAAATTTGCTTTAATAAATGTAATAATTAATCAGATGATACTCATGCACATTATGTGAAGTACTAAACTGTTTATGTTTAGTAGAATGAAGATTCGGGCTATAGGGCCGTGGTCTAAGTGAACCATTCCGTCCAGACGTTTCGTCAGCTACTACTCAGTGGTAGTGCTGCGTTGACAACGTGAACGTAGATTGTATCTCGATGTCTCGACAGCGACTGGGTGGACAGCAGGTTGATCACTGATATTTATACTGTGGCGCAGTGGGAGGGACAGGGGCGTGGCTTCGTCGGCGTCAGCCTCGGCTTGACTCATCCGATGAACGGTAGGTGTACTCGAATGGCTTGTTAGTGTATTCGGCGCTTTCTGTGTAGTTTTCTTTAGGACTGGGTACCATACATTATTCAAACGAAGCCCTTCTTCTTTTCTGTTGAAATTAATCAGATGTTTATAAATTTCAGTAGCTTCTCTATGCAAGCGAGCGTAATTTTGCGAAGTTGTAGATAAAACCGTAGTTCCGTCGTAGTTAATAACATGGTTCGGGTCTCCTATTGAATGCTCAGCTAGGGCCGATTTCTCAGGCTGTAGAAGTCGACAGCAGCGTTCATGTTCGGCTATTCTTGTTTTGATGCTACGTTTTGTGGTACCAATGTAGACTCCTCCGCAGGAACAAGGGATTCTATAAACACCAGCAGGTGTTAAAGGGTCTCTAGGATCTTTAGCTGATCTTATTAAGGTTCGTAGCAGTTGTGTGGGTTTGAAGGAGGTTACGATATTATGACGCTTCAATAACTTCCCGATGCGATCAGTGACCGTTTTAATATATGGTAGGGAGGCGAAACCTACGGGCGGTGGTTGAGATGTCTCCGGTACAGTTCTCTTGGGATGAAGGGCACGCTTGATCTCCTGTGACGTATAGCCATTGGATTGAAGGGCTTGATCTAGATGGCGGAGTTCTTGATCTAAAAGAGAAGCTTCACAAATGCGTATAGCCATTGGATTGAAGGGCTTGATCTAGATGGCGGAGTTCTTGATCTAAAAGAGAAACTTCACAAATGCGATTAGCTCGATGNGAGTTCTTGATCTAAAAGAGAAGCTTCACAAATGCGTATAGCCATTGGATTGAAGGGCTTGATCTAGATGGCGGAGTTCTTGATCTAAAAGAGAAACTTCACAAATGCGATTAGCTCGATGAATAAGGGTTTTCAACATGGCTCGCTTCTGCGCTGGGTGATGATTGGAGTCGTTCGAACGATTACTTCCGAAAAATACTCCACCGACTTTGAACAAAAATCGCATTGAAAAATGTAAAAAAGAAGACAAAATCTGGACAGCCGGTTGATTCAAGACGAACATATATATAGGGTTGTTCGGAAAGTCATTTCGTTTTTTCCCGACAGAGGATTTAATTGTATTCTTTTGCACCCAACTTCACATTTAAGCCGTATAATTTTTATATGCTTTGAGAGCTCATATAGCAAGGCTTGTGTGTGAAAAATTCCAATT